ATTTCAAGCCAACATGAACACAACAAACAGCAAAAAATGTAAAGAGCATATTTTCTCATTGTTCTAACAAACAGAGACAGAACAAAGTAGGACTTTAACTTCCTTCCTTCCTTCCCTCTTTTTTCTCCAGTAACAGTAAGTTAAGATATCATTCAACAGAGCTTAGTTGTTTCTTTGCCTGGGCTACATTATACAAACAATCATTTGCTGCTACTCAGTGAACGCACACAAAATGGCCCTGATGACAACAGCACAAAGTCCTGGGAGCTTTCTCCACCAGTAACAGCCCCACACCCCCTCCATCACTGGTTTGCTGTATTGACCCAGGTAATGGTGATAATGGATGTTATTCACATCAATGGGAAGATCAAACAGTAAAAGGAAACCTTTTGCTTCTACAATTCATGCTCCCAAGTGCAAATCTTTATCCCATTACACGGTTCAGAGGGGAAGCTACGGATCAAAACAACGATTCCATAAAAACACCTAAAAACAGCTGCATCTTTTCTTCTTCTTTCCCGGTCTAACACTCATGAATCTATTATCTAATTAGTTATATGCCTTTTTAATTTCCTCACATTACACTTCAAACTTTACAGCGCCAACAACAATGCAAAGGGAAGGTACTGAGGAGTTATTCAAGTGCAAGAACTCTTAGTGGGCAATGACAGAGAGAGGGTAGGGCAACACTGTCCTCAGCCTCAGACACACAGATAAACAGGTAAATGAAGAAAGCTGAGTGAAACCACAATATTGTTTTTACAATTGACAATATGATTTGTTTTCATGATTTGGTCACACAATAAATTCACTCAATAATTTGTGATAAAAACATTTCTGATTCTGATTCTATTTATTGCTGCCAATATCTAATATAACATTACGGCATTATGACAGAGATACAGTAATAATATCACAGTAATCTCTTGAAGCCAGACTGAGGAACAGCTGTGGCCACAAGTGGTAATTACTGTATGGATTACTGGGTAATGGCGCACTACATTTCCCTAGATTCTCTTAAGACACTTGTTGTCATCGTTGGCCAACCTGAGTGAGGGCAGGTCAAACCAGACCACAATCAATCAATCAATCAAGCTTTATTTATATATAGCACCTTTTACTCAAATAAAATGCCAAAGTGCTTTACAAGTGATTAACAAAACAGATTATTAAAACAGGAAACCGATTATTAAACCATTATGTCTTTTAGTGAGATATAAAACCACTGAAAAGTTTACAGGTAAGCTAAAACACACAATGTGACAGCAGCACAAGAAGTCTCCAAACTGTCCTTGCAATGTCAGTCAGACAGTAATATCTATATTAGCCACTGCTTGTACCAAACTAAATAAAAAATATAGATTGGTGCAATTGCTTAGAAATTCTAATTTTCTGATGCTTTTTCATCATTTAAAAGTTACAGAGCCTCAATTTAAATAATCAAACTATGCATTTCCATGACTTGTGTTACTGTGACCCTTTTACCGCTTTAACGGGTCAGCCATGTTGACCACTTCACACCAACAGTGACTTTGCTTTGGTTTGACAAAGTTTTGATGACAGGGCCATAAAAAGCAACAAAGACAAAGATACACTCATAAACTCAAAACCTCTGTGCCATGTTTGAGAACAAGATGTATACATAGGATTTCCTGCTGTTATAAGATCTATTGTCCTCTGCCTTTTTATTAAATTCCACTGTACTTTAAGTTTCTCTGGCACAAGACTGATATACTCTAGCCTCTGTACTGTTTCCTTTGCAGGTTTCACTGGGGATCTGGATTATGTTTCACTAATCCTAACAGCCGTAAATTCACTAAAACAATTTTAGACATCTCCAGATTGATGTTGCACTGTCACGGCCCAGATCAAAAACAGTAGTGGACTGCTCCTTTTCTGTGCGGTGTCCTGAGGAGTCTGTTGCATGGGAACACATAAACAGTGCTTGAACGGCTTAAGGCTTTATTTCAGGACAGAGATAAGACACCATGTGCCTGTGACGAACTTTCTCCACACAAGGACCTGGTTTTGGGGCATTGATTGTATTTTTATCAGTGGGTAAGTAAGATACATTGAAGAATAGGTCATATTTATGCCAAATATTCATGAATGTATCCTGCAGTAGTCTAACCTGACTGCAATAGATGGTTCAATGGATCCAGTACCACTGCACCAGTTACAAGCATATAGACTGAAGCCTGGCGATCGCCTGATCTTGTGATTTGGTCTCGCAAGTCCAGCTGCCTCACAAGGATCAATACAAGGTTGAAGGAAGGTTTTTCTGAAAATGTCCAACCTGTTCTACAAACAGCCGCTCATATGAAATGACACAGTCCGAGTCCTCGCTGTAGAATTGTGCCAGAAATGAGGCCTGGATTTAGGGACTTCCATTTCAAACCCGCTTCGCTCTGCTGATCCTATGCCAGATTACTGGGCCTCAATTTTCTATGTTGCGGTCGAGACACAACAAGGCCATTTATTGTCTGTGGCCAGCTCACTTCTTCTGAGGAGCAGCAGTTGTTCTGAGCACATGAAACTGAAACACAGCGTCTCGGGCCACAGCAGAAAGTGATGACCTTCAAATGAGCGAGGTCTAATGTGACCGCTCTTTGGCCCAGCTTGATTAGCAGATGTCACAGGAAGTGAATAGTATCCTTATCGAGGGTCACCAGTACAGTCCGACAGCATGTCTGTCTTTCCTCTGATGTCATCAAGGGCTGCAGACGAAGATCTGGCACAGACACAATCACACCCATTTGTGCTCCATATGCACACATTCAAATAGAGCATCTTTGCAGACCCAGCAGGCCTGACAGGGTGTTAACCAACTTCATCAAACTCTTGAGATAATAACCATAAAAGATTCTGATAGGGAGAAAAACTGACCACAAAATTGCTGGAACAGCTATTTTCCCAACGGTGAACTCGTAATCTGGCGTGAAACCGATTAGAGCTGAAACGATCGGTCAGTTGGGACCATGTTGGGAACAAGTGTTTTAATGTTATCATTTAGATTTGTTGTTCTTTTTCCTTTAATCTGTAGCACTTCTGATCATTGTCTAAGCAATGCACATGCCCTTTACAGCTTCTCAAATGTATTTCTTGTATGATTAGCAAACTAATCTTTGGTTTTTGCAAAAGAAATATATTATAAATATGACTTTGAGAAATTGTGATGGGCATCTTTCATTATTCTTTTACATTATGTAGACTAAACTGCTCATCGATTAATAGGCAGAATAATTATACGCAGCCCTAAAACTGATGTTTGAAACAGCTCTACACAGAAGATCTAATGCCAAATTGAGTGACATGTAAATACCGTCCTCTGGTCAAACAGCTGCACTTAAGTGATAAACATGTAATATGATGGATGGCAGGGTACATATGGATTGGAAGTGTAAGATATAAGCACAAACATGAAGAAAGCCAGAGAAGTAGAAGTACAGGAAGTGGACTTGATAAGAGCAGAGAGGGTTGGAAGAAGTCACGGACAATGGTCAGGCTCAAGTTAAACAGGAGGTCAGCACAATACAGGGGCAAGGGAGGGAGAGGTTCACCCAAGGAAAGGTAAAGAGGTGGAGGGCAAGAGATAAGGGAAGTTCACAAGAGGAAGGGCTGGGTGTGGGGTGGTGGCACACATTAACTTCTTGTTTAAACAAACAAGTGAAGCCACGCAAACACAAATGAACTGTGATGTTGCAGAATTGCTGAGATAGCCCCCGTGGTCTCCCTCACCCAACATAACACCACATATGAAATCTACACTACCCATCTCTTCCTAAAAATAAACATCATCGCCGTTACAGTGCATGCCACCAGTGCATCCTCAGTTATTCTAGATCACACAGCAGATTAAAGAAAG